CCCTGCATCCCTGGAATAAATCCCACTTGATTGTGGTGTATGATCCTTTCAATGTATTGTTGTATTCGATTTGCTAATAATAATTTTGTTGAGTATTTTTCTATCTACGTTCATCAGAGGTATTGGCTTTAAATTTTCTTTTTTGTGTTGTCTTTGTCTTGTTTTGGTATCAGGGTAATATTGGCCTTGTAAAATGAGTTAGGAAGCATCCTGTCCTCCTCAATTTCTCAGAATAGTTTGAGAAGGATAGGTATTAAATCTTCTCTGAATGTTTGGTAGAATTTGCCAATCTGTCTTGTCCTGGACTTTTGTTGGTGGACGTTTTCTTTCTTTTGGGTGATGTCCCTGAGCTAACATTTGTTGCCAGTCTTCCTCTATTTTGTATGTGGGATGCCACCACAGCATGGCTTGATGAGCAGTGCATAGGTCTGTGCCCATGATCCAAACCCTTAAACCACAGACCACCAAAGTACAGCTTGCAAATTTAACTACTATGCTACTGGGCTGTCCTGAGGAGGTTTTGGATTACTGTTTCAATCTCTTTACTTGTGATTGGTCTATTCAGATTCTCTATTTCTTCTTGATTCAGTTTTGGGAGGTGGTATGAGTTTAAGAATTTATACACTTTTTCTAGCTTATACAATTTGTTGGCATATAGCTTTTCATAGTATTCTCTTACAGTCTTTTGTATTTTTGTGGTCCCTTGTAATTTCTCCTCTTTCATTTCTGATTTTATTTACTTGAGTCTGCTCTCTTTTTTTCTTATTGAGTCTGGGTAAGAGTTTGTCAGTTTTATTCACATTTTCAAAGAACCAGCTCTTAGTTTCATGGATCCTTTCTATTGTTTTTTAGTGTCTTTTAAAAAAATTACTGCTCTGATATTTATTACTTCCTTTATTCTTCTTACTTTGGGCTTAGTTTTTTCTTCTTTCTCTACTTCTTTTATGTATAGTGTAAGACTGTTTATTTGAGATTTATCTTGTTTGTTGAGGTAGGCCTGTACTGCTATAAATTTCCCTCCTGGCACTGCTTTTGCTGCATCCAATAATGTTTGATATGTTGTGTTTTCATTTTCATTTGTCTCCAGGTATTTTTTGATTCCTCTTTTGATTTCTTTATTGACTCAATAGTTGTTCAGTAGAACGTTGTTTGGTCTCCACATATTTGTGACTATTCCCACTTTTTTCTTGTGGTTGATTTACAGTTTCATACCACTGTGCTTGGAAAAGATGCCTGATATGATTTCAATCTTATTAAGTTTATTGAGGCTTGCCTTTTTCCAAACATATGATCTCGAAGAATGTTCCATGTGTGCTTGAGAAGAATGTGTATTATGCTATTTTTGGATGGAGTGTTCTATATGTATCTACTAAATCCAGCCTGTCTAGTATTTAATTTAAGGCCATTGTTTCCAGCTTCACTTTCTGTCTGGATGATCTAGCCATTGACATAAGTCAGGGATTAAGGTCCCTTACTACTATTGTGTTGCTGTCAACTTCTCCCTTTAGGTCTGTTAATAGTAGCTTTATATAATTTGCTGCTCCTGTGCTAATAAGTATTATATCTTCTTGTGGGAATGTCCTTATTATCATTATATAATGCTCATCTTTGTCTCTTGCCCTCTTTTTTGTTTTGAAGTCTGTTTGTCTGGTATAAGTATGGCTATGCTCACAGTTTTTTTCTTGCCATTTGTTTGGAGTATCATCTTCCATTCCTTCTCTCTGAGCCTATGTTTGTCTTTAAAGCTGAGATGTGTTTCCTGGAGGCAGCATCTTGTTGAGTCTTGTTTTTTAATCCATCCAGCTGCTCTGTGTCTTTTGCTTGGTGAATTCAATCCATTTACATTTAAAGTGGTTATTGATATATGAGGGCTTAATAGTGCCATTTTATCTTATGTTTTCTGGTTATTATATATTTACATTTTTTCTTCTTTCTTGTATTTCTGACTGTCATTTCAGTTTGGTGGTTTTTTGTGATGGTTTTCTCAGTTTTCTCTTTATTTATGATTTGTGACCTTCCTCCAATTTTTTGTTTTGTGGTTACCATGAGGTTTGTATAAGAGATCTCCTAGATGAGATACTCCATTTTCTGATAGCCTCTTACTCCATTGGACTAGGCAGGTTCTGTCTTTTCCTCTTACCTTTCTATGTTTTTGTTGTCACAAATTATTCTTTTTTGTGTTGTGGGTTTGTCACCAAACTGAAGTGGTTAGAATTATTTTTGATTCTTCCCTTACCTTTATCCTTTATGGTATAATTATGTGTTTACTAACCTATTTTCTGTCTGTCTATTTATCTTCTCACTCAAAGCTTTGTAAACTTTTGCCTTTTTGTTTCAGGTAGGAGGGTTCCTTTCAATATTTCTTGTGAGGTAGGTCTGTGACAATGAATTCACTTAGTTTTGTTTGTCTGGGAAAGCTTTTATTTCTCTTTCATATCTGAAGGATAGTCTCACTGGATAGAGTATTCTTGGCTTATTGTTTCTGTCTTTCAGTATTTTGAATATCATTCTATTCCTCTTAGCTTATAGGGTTTCTACTGAGAAATCCACCGAAAGCCTGATGGGAGTTCCTTTGTAGGTTATTTTCTTCTCTCTTGCTGCCTTTATTATTCTTTCTTTGTCATTTACTTATGAAAGTTTTAATATTACATGCCTTGGAGAAGGGCTTTTTGCATTGAGATAATTAGGAGTTCTGTTAGTTTCATGTATTCATATATCCATTCCTTCCCCAGGTTTGTGAAGTTCTCAGCTATTATTTCTTTGAATAAGCTCTCTGCTCTTTTGTTCCTCTCTTCTCTTTCTGGTATGTATGTTATGCTTATGTTACTTATTCTAATTGAGTTGGATATTTCTTGTAGAATTTCTACATTTCAAAAAAATCTTAGTTCTCTCATCTCCTCCACATCAATCATGTCTACATTTCTTTTTTTTTTTTTTAAGGTATGCTTTTTGGTGAGGAAGATTGGCCCTGAGCTGACATCTGCTGCCAATCTTCCTCTTTATTTTTCCTCCCCAAAGCCACAGTACATAGTTGTATATCCTAGTTGTAAGTCCTTCTAGTTCTTCTATGTGGGATGCCATCACAGCATGGCTTGATGAGCAGTGTGTAGGTCTACAGCCAGGATCCGAACTGGCAAACCCTGGCGCTGCCGAAGTGGAGCGCATAAACTTAACCACTCAGCCATGAGGCCGGCTCCTATTTCTAGATTTCTATCTTTGAGCTCACTACTTCTCTCTTCCATATGGTCTGCTTTATTTTTAATGTTTTCTACATTATTTTTCATCTCATTAATTGTGTTCTTCATCTCCAGAATTTCTGTTTGGTTTTCTTTTTTTTTTGGAGTTTCAATCTCTTCAGTGAAGTATTCCTTCTGTCCATTAATTTCATTCCTGAGCTGACCGAACTGTCTTTCTGAGTTTTTTTGTAGCTCATTGAGTATCTTCATGACAGCTATTTTGAATTCTCTGCCAGTTTGATTGTAATCTTTTCTGACATCAAGCTTGGTTTCTGAGGAGCTGTCATTTTCTTTCTCTTCTGCCATGTTACTACAGTTCTTGATGGTGTTTGATGAATTGATCCTCTGTCAGCACATTGTGGTAATACTCACCTTTCTTATTTGAGTACAGCTTTGGTTACTTTGGTTCTGAGCTGCTTCTGGTTGTATTTGAGAGCCTGCACTTTCATTCTCCACTGCCTCTGCCAGAGGCATCATCAGTGCCCTCCTTGTCCTGCTTGTGCCCCTGAGGTTGCCAGTGCATTGCTGCTTATGATGTTACTGCAGTCTCGGGTGTTGCCACTGGGGTCACCAGGCTGCAAGCATTTCTGCTACTTCTGGGACTGCCTGAGTCTCATGTCCTCTACTGTATTTCAGTGGGCTCTCCACATTCTCAGATGCTGCTGCCCCTTGTACCAGCTGTGCTGCTGCCCTAAGTTTGTTTGTGGGTGCTGGTTGCTCTGTTGCCAGGGTTCTGGGTCTGTGGGTGTTGCTACTGCTGCAGGGGGCCCAGGGACCTGGGGATTTGTGAGCAGTCCCTGCTGCAGTGGGAGCTAGTGTCAGGGGTGCTGCCATTGGGAGCTGGGTCATCACTTCTGCTATGGTTCCTGAAGCCTCTGGTCACAGGTTCACCTGCTACCAGTGGGGTTGAACAGAGACTAACCAAGGAGAGGTCGTTATTCCTGTTCACTCATGCAGCCTCTGTTCTCTGGTGCTAGCTGGTATGTGTTTAAAAATCAGGTCTGAGTGTGCAACCCCAGGAAAATCCGAGTTTTGCATGTTGTCCCCACAGTTGGAAAGATCTGGCTACTACTAGGGGAGTATGAGGGGGCACCCACATTAGATCTACTGGGAGATGGGCAGGGAGCAAGCCGTGCCTAAAGTATTTGGTCCTGGTGGGTCTGCTTGCAGTCGTATGGGCTGGGTCCACTAGGGGACATGTAAGAAGCAACCCACACCATTGTTTCTCCTCTCCCAGAGTCTGCTCTCACCCACACATGTCAATGTGAGGATCCACGCCCCAGATCACTGCTGAGAGGAAAGGGGTAGGGGGCTGCTCTCTTGTTTCCACTTCCTACCAGGGATCCAAACCACCCACCTTCAGATGTATAGATGCATAGATCTCTTAGGCATCCTGTTGTGCTCTGTAGGTAATCCTCTGTTGGTCAATGGATGCTCAATTGGTTGTAACTTAGAGGGGAGAGACAAAGGGAATAACTCACTCTGCCATGATGCTGACATCACTCCCACATTAATTTTTCACAGAGAAGAACTGCATCCTGAAATTCTTATAAGTGTGCAATGTTCTTTCATGGGAGCGTTATAATGCATTCAGGTTATACAGCTGAGCTATCAAGCTAATGGCTATAACATGCAATTTCTTACAGATATAATTATCTACACTTCTTCTGTACAAAAATGACACAAATGTCTCAATAATTACATTATACAAAATTAAGCATTTTAAACTAAGCAGTAATGTTTGAAATTATAGCCAATACCCACCATGAAACCCCATATTTGCTACCTCTAGGTAACAAGGTACTTGCTGTGAAGGAAGCAGCAAGGCAATCACATCTTCTGCAGCCAAGTACCCACATTGAGAGATGCACCTGATTAAGTGACTCCACGCACCTGAGTAGAGAGGAAAGGAAAACCAATTCCAAGTTTAGTATGATCCTTTTTGCTCTGTAATGAATTTACCTCCTCCTTTCACTGCAACTCTAAATGAGGCACAACTTACATCAAGCACCAAAATTTGTTACTTATGGAAGTAACTTCTGTCAATTGCCTGAATCATTAACTTCTTTTATTTATCTATTTATGGGCCTTGTTCTGGAAAGGATTTAAGACAGGAAACATTAACTGTTTCTAGGTAAAGACTTGGGATGACTCACAAGACTGGGCAGTGTCAGTAGGGAGAACACACAAACACCTAAGTTCCAAAGGCAACTGCATCCCATTATAAGTAGTAATGGTACCTACTCTGAATGATGCCTTGTGCTAGGAGCTGGGGATACAGAGGAGAGTACAACAGAGAAGTTTCTTGAGAGTAATGGAGCCTACATTCTGAAGGGGTACCCAGCACCAAAAGTGAGGTTAACATGCCAGGTAGCCTAGCAAAGCTCAAGTCTAATTGGAGAAGAGATGCTCTGAGTCTTGATATTTGCCTCCAAACATCTGAATAACCATATTTTATAAGAAAAAAGAAGGAATTGCTGTGGCTATAGGCCATAAATGGCTACTCTTGGTGAAAGTCAGAAGGATGCCAATATGGGCCAATAAAAGAAAGAATTGTTTAATAAATAGACTTGTCCAAGAATGGAATAGAACGTATTGTAAGGTAATGAGCTCCCAGTCACAAGAGGCACCAGCAGAGTTGGAAAGATTCATCTGGTATGTTACCTGGAAGTTGGCTGTGATGGGTAAAAGCAGATGCTGGGGAACATTAAAGGCTCCTTCCCATTTTATGATTTGGGAGTCTTCAAACACAAAAAATACCTTGACCATCTCAGCCCTCATAATTATACCTTTAAATAGAAGCTTTAATGATCACATAATGATATAATAGGCCATAATTTCCTTGGTTTCCTGTTATTCAGAGTCAGAACTACTAAGCACCGATTTCTGATCACTATGCTGTGGTTTTGGGCACCAAGTGGCTTCAAAATGCCAACTGCCTCTCTAAAAATCTTTTAAATAAAAAAGCACTGTAGTAATTGCCAAGGCACACCAGCCATGCGGGCAAAGGCAGGTCTGCAAATACTACTGATATTGGAAGCAAAGACTCTCTTGGTAGGCAGACTTTCTAAGGTGGCCCCCAATAATGTCCTGCCCTAAACCTTGGAACCTATCACCATGATGAGAGAACAGTCTCATGCTTCTGCTGTGCTACGTGGCACAGTTGACCTTCACACAGGGAGGTTATCTTGGATTATCCAGCGTGGCCAAACATAATCACGTGAGCCCTAGAAGCTAAGACCTTTCTCCAGCTGGTGGCAGAAGAGAAGTCAGAGAGAGTCAGAGCATGAGAAGAATTCGATGCACCATTGCTGGCTTGAAGATGCAGGGGGCCACATGACAAGGAATGTGGGTGACCTCTGGAAGCTGAGAGTAGCTCCTGGCCAACAGCCAAGAAAAGGGGGCCTTCGGTTCTACAACTGAAAATAACTGGATTCTACCACCAACCTGAATGACCTTGGACACAGATTCTTGCCCTGAGCCTCTAGATAACAGCCCAGCCCAGCCGATGCCTTGATTTTAGCTTTGTGATTCCCTGGGCATAGGACCCAGCTGAGCCCACCAGACTGCTGGTTACAGAGCTAATAAATGGGCGTTGTTTTAAGGCACTCACTGTGGTCATTTGTTACACACCAGGAGATAACCAATCCAGAATTCAAATGGTAAAGACCAAGCGTTTTAAACCAGACCTAAGAGTTGGAATGATCGACTCTCACGGGCCACACCTCCACCAGCTAAGTGAACCAGGTGAGTCCAGTCCCTGAGGAGTCTGAGGAAAGTGCACCCTGGTTGACTTAGGTGAAATCATGGTGAGAAAAGGCCCACCTCCACCTCACACCTGTAAAAATGGCTATCATCAAGAAGATTAAAAAACAAGTGTTGCGAGAATGTGCAGAAAAGGGAATCCTTGTGTACTGTTGGTGGGAATGTTAATTGGTGCAGCCACTATGGAAAATGTTATGGAGGTTCCTCAAAAATTAAAACTGGAACTACCATATGATCCAGCAATCCCACCTCTGGGTATATTTCCCAGGATATTGAAGAGATATATGTGCTCCCATGTTCACAACAGCCAGCATATGGAAATGACCTAAGTGTCCATCAATGGATGAATGTATAAAGAAGATACGGTCTATTTATACAATGGAATAATTTTCAGCTGTTAGAAAGAAGGAAACCCTGTCATTTGTGACAACATGGATGGACCTTGAGGGCATTATGCTAAGTGAAATAAGGCAGATAGAGAAAGACAAATACTTTATGGTTTCACCTGTATGTGGACTCTAAAAATTCTGAACTCATAAAAACAGGGAGTAGAAAGGTGGTTACCAGGGGCTGGGGGTGGGGGGTGGAATTAGCGAGATATTCCTAAGGGGTAAAGACTCACCACTAAAAGATGAATAAGTTCTGAAGATCTAATGCACAGCAGAGTGATTGTATTATATACTTAAAATTGCTAAGAAAGTAGATCTTAAATGTTCTTATCACAAAAAAGAAATAATTATGTGACACAGTAGAGGTATGATAGAACACTATAGTGGTAATCATATTGCAGTATATAAATAGATCAAATCAACACTTTACATCTAAATCTTAGACAAGGTTATATATCAATTATATCTTGAGTAAAAAAAGAAAGAAAGGCCTAACTCATTCCCACAAGAAGGCCGGGGGGAAGGCACAAGGGGAAGCCCCAGTGGGGGGCCCTGGGTGATCAATGCTGGGTGAGACTCTCGTGCTCCTCAGAGGAGGGGGGGGTTCCCTGCAGCTGGTGACAGTGGGGGTGGAAGGTGAATGATGAGGAAACACCTGGGGTCCTACTGTAATTTCAGGTGTGCAATGAATGTTCCTGACACCCAGATGTACACTGCTCTGCTAGGGTTTATGTTTGGTGTTGACAGCCCTCAGAGAGGAAGAAGGTGGGGGCTGGGGACTAGGGAAGCCCTTGCCAGCTCCCCCTCCAAAGCCAAGACCATGTTTATCTCCTGAGCTTGAAATTCACACAAAAGTAGAGCCGCCTGTTCTGGACCACTGCACATTCTGGCAGCCTTGGGCGTACCGAAACTTCTGACCAAACAGGGCACATCTCCCCTGGAGTAGTGCACTAGCCTCCTAAGGGGTCTCCCTGCCTTTGCTCCTGTCACCCTGGGCCTACTCTCAACGCAGCAACTGAGGGATCCTCTTAAGACACACAGTCTGAGTAGGCCAGCCTCTACCAGAGCTTTCCAGTGGCCCCCAAGTTCTCCCAGTGACCTGTAACACCCTCATGGTGGGCCCCCACTCCCTCTCTGGGCTTCTCTCCCAGCCCTCTCCCTTCACGCACTCCACTCCCTCATGTTCCTCAAATACACCATACTCTCTTCTGTTCTAAGACCTCTGAGCTTCTTCTCCTTTCCGGAACGCTCTTCTCCCAGATATCCACTCGGCTCTCTCCCTCACTTCCTTCAGCCTCTGCTCACATATCACCTCAGGAGAGAGACCTTCCCAGACCGCCTATGGAGAGCACCCCTCTTCCCTGCTCTGCTGCACTCTAACCCCTTACCCAGCTTTATCTTCTACACAGACCTCATCAGCACCTGTCCTGATTTTGATTTGCGTGAGTGTTTGCTTCCTGTCAGCCTCTCCCCACAGAGCAGAAGCCCCATGAGGTTATCTAGTCTGGTCCACCACTGTTTCCCAAGATCCCCTCTGGGTACCTGGCACAGCGAATATCTTCTGAATGAATGAATGACAGGAAGTCTTCTAGAAGATGTTGGGTGGTCAGACTGGGTCAGCTAGAGTCAAACAGCAAGCAATGCTGGGTTCTGGAGACACCAGTATAGTGGATGTCAGAGTTGCTGCATGAAGTTCAAAGACAGACTTTCCCTATTCATTCTTTCAGTAAACAATTTCTACGCATCTACTTTGTGCCAGGTGTCTATTCCTCTCAGGAGAATTTCTTACATGTCGGATAAGGAGAGCACCCCTCCTATAATAATGCACCATAAAACAGGTATTTTACAATGATTCTCATAGTACAATGGAATAGTCTAGAAAAACCCATGCTATTGGGAACTGGTGTAAGATGTGTCATACATACATAAACACGTGAGAATGTTCAGAACTGCTAACTTGCAAGGTCTCTCTTGTGTTTTCCAGCCTAATCATTTCCTCAGATTACCAGCTTGTTTGTCTTCTTTGGACTCCTCAATTTAGAATGAGTCCACAAGGAGGAATTTCCCCCTCCAGTTGGATCAGAGAGTGCTCAAGGAACCGGAGGCCGTGGAAACCCGCTGGTGACTCAGGAGTGTTCTATGATTAGCCAGGTGCCAAGGCCATCTGATCGGCAGCTGGGGCCACGCTGTTTACTAAGAGGATGACTTACAGATGGGAGGGGAGTTGTGCAGGCTTAGCAGAGGGGCAAGAGGACAGGTGCGGCTGGGAGAAATGGGAGAGCCACCAAGGTCATCCTAATAAAGTGATCAGGTTTCCACCTCATGACTCTACAGCTGCACCTGGTCTGCATTCTCAGCACAAGAACTATGTTCTCAAAAAGGTCAGCTTCAAAATCATCAAAAAGTGATCTGCTCATGGTGCTGCTTGAGCACGTCATGAAGAATATTTGCAAACAGTCTTCTCTTCTCTAGGCACATTCCCCTTGAGTTGCCTAAATTTTTAAGTTCCTTCCCAGGATGTGGGAAGAAAATTTCCTGCACCGTGGGCTTACAGGTCTGGAGAAGGCAGGTTCTTCATGATCCCACAGATGTGGCTGTGGAAGAGCTTGTGAGAGCCCCAGAGGCCCGACCACACAGGAGCCTCATCCTGGAACAGATAGACAAACACCTACTGGAGGAACGTCAAAGGGGAAGGTGGAGTGTGCCGAGGACAACTTGAGCAACCGCAGCTCGTGATGA